ACCCAGCGCTGATCTCGGGCTCGACGCTGTCTCTTTGGCTGTGGGGGTTTTGAGGACCATATTTTGGTCACAGAAAAAGATAAATAAATATTTTCACATTTCTGATAATTTGGCTTTTGATTGATCATTTATAACATTACTGAAGTGAAACGCGGAATTAATAGACTCCCCAACCTGATGTAGTTAGGAAGTAGTTATGTCAGCACTTGGCACAAGCGAGATAGCTCTCATGAAACCTTGTGCCCCGAGCCCTGGTCTGATCCTCATCTTTATTCACAAAGATGTTCCATATGCATTACTTTGCACAACCTTTCAATGCATGTTCAGCCCCTGGCCCCGCCTGTCCTAGCCTTGCATGGTAATTAGATCCACGCCCTTCTGAGCATGCATTGTTTGCTGTGGTGTTCACACGGGGGTCTTTGGTGGTCTCTGAGGCCAAAGGCTGTGGTCTTCATGATTGAACTTTTGAACTTTTCTCCTTTGTGCACGCGCTTTGGTCCCTTGGTGCTTATCTGAGTATGTCTGTCGGTCTTGTTGAGCTTGGAGACAGAGGAGCCTCTTTCTCTATGTTTCTTGCATTCCTTGGTCTTCTCACGGTTTTGTTCTTTATCGCAAGAAGCTTCAGAAATGTTTCATTTTTCTATGCCCTTTGTACCATGGCAGAGATTTCTTAAGTAAAAGGCTAAAATTCAACACACAAGTCTACAAGCTATAATTTAAATCCGTAAATCATATTGCTAACTTGAGTGAACCACCAAAGCCTCCATTTCATTACTATGACAACATCTGACCTCCAATCAAGATTTAAGGACATACACCCCACCACTGGACAGCAAAGAAGGAGTCGATGGACAGAACTTTGGGAGGGGCTAAAGGGTTAAAAGGCCAAATCGCCATTGTGTGGATGAGCACGTGGTGGGAAAAATCCTTTGCTCCCAGCCCAGTAATATTTTCTCTATTCAGTCATATATTATATTTTTGCTAAGGTTTTAATAAACCTTTTAAATTTTTGAAAGTGAGTATCATTTCTTGCACAGAGGTGGAGTTTGCTCAGGCATGATGCTTTCTCCTCTGTGCATTCCAAAAGATGGTTGGTGTATTGGCTTTCCACTACAAGGTTTTGGTATCTGGGGAGTACCAGGGTGGCTTCTGTGAAAAGCTGCCAGAAGTCAGAGCCAATACCAGACGACTTCAAGACAGACCCACCACTGGCCAAGGCCAGGCCAATCAGCAATGGTGGTGTGATTTCCCACTCTTAAGGGGAAGGGAGCACCCAAGATTCATAGATGCTCGCGGTTGAAAGGAATGATGAAAGCCAGAGGGTCTGCAAAAGCTTGCATCATTTTATTAGTTAATTACATACTTAGCATGGAATAGGTATGTTAGTCCCTGACCTACTATGTAAACACATGGCAGTGGGTTTTGGATAAAGGGGTAGAGAAGACAGAAAGAGATTAATTATAGAGGGAGGGAAGGGAAGGGAAGAAGGAAGTTGTCTTATATAGCACAAGTACTATTATCAATATAGTGCACAGATTTCATAGCCTCAGATTTTCCTACCTCCTCAATGTTTCTCGTAGGCAGCTCCTCTGAGCACTGCCTGTTCCTGATCCTTGCAGCAGCTATCTAACTCCTCCAACTCCCCTTCCCATCAGTCCACTCTTTTATACCACTAGTTCTTATTTGCTACAGGTGTTGCTTGTTATCATCTGGCCTGCTCCTAATGTTTAGTAATAGGGTCCAGCTGCAACTTGTTGGGAGATAAGATTACATTCTACATTACCCATACTGTGTCCTCCTACAGGGAGGGAACATCACATCACCAGTCCTGGCTATTAATGTTTGAGACACACACAGTAGCCCCCTTATCTTTCAAGCTTCTACAGATGGTAGTGCCTCCGGGATAGCATATTTGGGGGGGGGGGGGGGGGGGGGGAGGGATTGCTGCACAAGAGCAGCTGTGAGAGGAGTGCGAATATGTGAGAGAAACAACTGCTAACACCAAGGTCAGTGGAGAAGGAAGGGGAGGAGGTGCTCCAGGCACTAGAGCAGATTCCCCTGCAGCCTGTGATGAAGACCATTGTGGGGCAAGTTTTCTCCATGTACCCCATGGAAATTAATGGTGGAGCAGCCTGTGGAGGACTCCGTACCAGAGCAAGTGGATGTGCCCAGAAGAGGTTGCGACCCTGTGGGAAGCCCATGCTGGAGCAGGCTCCTAACAGGACCTGTGACCCTGTGGTGGACAGTAGTGTTTTGACCTTGGCTGGGTGCCAGGTGCCCTGTAAGCCAGGGCATCCGCCTGCTCTGGCATGGAGCTCCTCCACAGGCTGTAGGTGGATCTCTGCATCCCTGTGGATCTCCATGGGCTGCCAGGGCACATCTTCTTCACCATGAGCTGCAGAAGAATCTCAGCTCTGGGGCCTGGAGCACCTCCCCCTCCTCTTTTTTCACTGATCTTGGTATCTGCAGAGCTGTTCTTCTCAGATGTTCTCACCCTGGTCTTCTCTGGCTGCAATTACAACTGCGCAACAACTTTTCTTTCTTCTTAATGATGTTATCACAGAGGCTTTCCTACCATTGCTAATTGGCCCAGCCTTGACCAGCTGCACGTCCATCTTTGGAGCCACCTGGGATTGGCTCTGCCAGACATGAAGGAAGCTTCTAGTAGCTTCTCACAGAAGCGACCCCTGTAGCCCCCCTGCTACCAAAAATCAGGCCCTGCAAACCCAATACAGCCACAAGGGCTTATTGCTGACTCATGGACAGTTTGTTGTACACCAGTGCCCCCAGGTCCTTTTCTGCAGTGCTACTTTCCAGCAGGTCACCCCTCACTTGTACTGGTGCCTGGGGTTATTCCTACCCAGGTGCAAGACCCTGCATTTTCCTTTGTAGACTTTCAGAAGCTTTTTCTGTCCATCTCTCCAACCTGTTGAGATCTTTCTAAATGTCAGCACAGCACTCTGGGGTATTGGCCACTCCTCCCAGCTTTGTATCATCAGTGGACTTGCTGAGGAGGCATCTACCCCTTCATCCAAGTCTTTGATGAACAAGTTAAACAATACTGAGCCCAGCATTGAATCTTGGGGCGCACCACTAGTGACAGGCCTCCAACTAGACTGCAACTGATCCCAACACTCTTGTCCTAGGGTGGTGTTATGATGCTTGCATTCCCATTCATGTGTTCTGTTAATGTTAGATATTATGTTCTGTACCTTTAAGACTGGCTCTGAACAGTGAAAGTTTTGTTTTGGGTTTCTTATCAGCCTGGCGGGACACAGAGACTGCAGCTTTTGCTTTTTCTGCTTTTGCTTTTTGCTTTGCTCTCTCTCTCTCTTTTGCTTGCTTTGCTTCTGCTTGCTTTTGCTTTTGCTCATTAGCTAGTTTATCTAAACACTCCAAATTTCTTCCTGGACTGTTTCTCCTTTCCTTTTTTTCAACCATTTCGAACCTGCTCTGGACTGGGACCTGGGAAAACCAAGAGTTTGCACCTTGTAGCCTGCAGCAGCTGCCCCAGCGCCGGAGGGACTGAGAACAGAGCGACCACCCCCAAGAGAGACTTTCTGAATTTGTCATCTTTTTTCAGAGTGGTGTCATCCAGTATTGTTCATTTTGTGTGCTGGGGAGTGCTGTGCCTGTTAAATAAACAGGTTCTTTCCACTTCTCTCTGAGGAATTCTTCCCAAACCGGTTGGGTGAGGGGCCCTGTGGGTTTGCTTTCTGGAGGGGCCCTCCTTTGGATATTCTCTACCAAATTTGCCCTAAACCAGGACAAAATCTTGGCACCCAATGTGGGGTGAGAGAGAGAGTGGAAAAACCCTGTTTTGAGTGCATTTTGGTTGCCATTACTCTCTGTTTGTTTAAAGCAGTTAATAGCCATGCTTTCTGAATTCATAATGTCTGTTGGGGTGAAGGCTTGCATGTATTTCTGGTCCCTAAGGTTTTTTGAGATCTTAATACCTCTGTGGTCTGTAGGTTTATTTTCATATCCAGAAATAGTTTTAGTATTGTCCTTAATACATAGTTTTTATAGCAGAGGGGCAGTGACCAGAATAGCTATCCTGCTGGGCTTGGTGGCAATGATTTGTAAGAAGTTTATAAACATGCTGGGGTCTGCTCTGGGTATGAATGGTTCCTGGCTATGGTTATGCATTCAATTTGTTAGAGGAGGAGCAGCAGGGAATGCTGCCTTTCAGATAGTTCTCAATCTACCTCTCTGTCCACTCATCCAACCCACACTTCCTGAGTTTGCCTATGAGGATGCTGTGAGAAAATGCCAAAAGCCTTGCTGAAGTCCAGGTAGACAGTATACACTGCTGTCCCCTCATCTATCCAAGTAGTTGTCTTGTCATAGAAGGCAATAAGCTTGGTTAAGCATAATTTCTCTTCAGTGAATCCATGCTGACTATTGATCACCTTCTTGTCATCCATGGGGATAGACATGGCCTCCAGAGTGAGGTGCTCCATCACTTTTCCAGGGATTCAGGTGAAGCTGAGTGGTCTATAGTTCCCTGGGTCCTCTTTCTTGCCCTTTTTGAATACGGGCACATTGCTTCTCTGGTTAACCTTTGTGAAGTAGATAGCTCTGGAAGACATTATTAATAAATTGTATCATGTTTGAGAATAGGAGCAGATCGCTGTTAAATGCTGCTATTCTTTTAAATAATAACTGTCCTTATTGGCATTCATGTCTGAACAAAATTAAAATTCTTTTTACTTTCTGTTAATCTATAAAATTCCATGTTGTGTTTATGGAAAATAGTGCAGTGTAAAAACAAACAAGTGAAACACTGCATCACAGAGTATATGTTATAACCTAAAAATTATAAGTATTGCACAGAGCATATCAGATTTTCAGTTCCTGGAAAGGAGTTAAGGGGGAATGCACCATCACAATCAGTAAAAGTTCCTTTAAAACAACTGGATTCATTCTTTCAGAGTTAATGAAAAGATGCTTATTAGAATAGGAGATTGTTTCCCTATAATTGTATCTTGTTTTCTTAGCCTCCTCCAGGAAATATGAGAATGACTCATGTACCCAGTACCCAGCCAGCAATAATGAAACCAACAGAAGAATCACCTGCTTACACACAAATTTCAAAGGTTTGTTTATAACTTTCAGGCACTAGGTTCCTTTTAATTATAGTAATATAAATACACATACACTTCTGAAGTTGTGTATGTTATAAATAAACATTGTTTTCCTAATAATTTATGAAAATGAATACTGCCTTTAAGTAATCAGTTACTGCATGAATTTGTGTAATATTAGGTTGATCTTCATAACTGGAGATGTTAAATTTTGGAAAATAGACTTGGAATATTAATTTTGTGTTTGTATGTTTTTAATTGCTAATAATGCTTATTTTGTTCAGGAGCATGCCTTGGCCCAGGCAGAACTGCTAAAGCGTCAAGAAGAAGTGGAAAGAAAAGCAGCTGAATTAGATCGCAAAGAAAGGGAAATGCAGAGTGTAAATCAGCAGGGGGGTATGCATAAAAATGTTTTTTTTTTTTAATTACAGAAATTTCACTTTTTCTTAAAAACTGTTTTAGTTTTACAGTGTTACTGTAGTGAAACAGATCAAAGGGAATTTTATAACCTCCTCAGGAAAAGAAAATTTATTTCCTTTGGAACAATGCAGTGAATAAAAACTGGCCTGTGCAGATTTTCACAGCAAAAATTTTAAATGAGGCCTATGTTACATGTTACTCTCTGCTATCAGCTATTTTTATTCTAGGTTAATATCCAAGTAATACTGTTGAATAGAAATGGAGCAGTTTGAGAAGTAACTTCATAAGTAACATCTCTTTGATTTCTCTTCTGTCAGTATTTATAGCTGTAGGAGAATTTTGCTCCTTTGAAACATTTTTTTATCTTTTGGCTATGTTTCAGACATTATTATATGCTAATTGCAGAAAGATTTATTTTATTATTAATATTCTATTAATTTTTCATATGTTGCTTTGTAACCCATAGTTAAGATCTGTATCTCATTTTGCCACAACATTTAAGTAACCTTCAGTTTTTATACTGCAATTTCACATATGGAATTTACATCCTCTTAACTGAAGATACTTTGCTAGAATTAGATCTACTGGAAAAATTTTAGACTGAAATTAAAAAACCTCAAACAAACCAAAACACCATGCAAGGTTGACTTTGCATGTTCTTTTCACTTGTATCTAGAAATCTGACTGTTGTATTTCCACATGTGCTGAGATGTTTTTGCTGCTGTGGTTATTGGAATATACAGCAGCACAATTCCAGATTGCAAGACCACTTAGTAATTCAAATTCTTAGAAACTTTATGCCACTCATCTGCTAGGATCTGGGAATAAGGAATAGCTGTTCTTCTAAGGAAAAGAATCATGATGATATTGTCCCTACATTAAACAATTTTTATTTTCTCAGTATTTATTCTTTTCAATGTCTCTATTAAATCTCTGTACCTCTTCTCCCAGATAATTTTTTGCTTGCTTGCTTTTTATTCTTCTTCTCCATATATTGCTCTTCATCTAATTTCACTGACTTATATTGATGATCTGAATTGATCACTTGTCTCTTTCAGGCTTCAGGGACAGTCTTGTTCATCTATATCATAGGAAACAACTCTGATACTGCATGCATGTTTCATGATATTTCTAAAATGGATATTTAGTGTTTTATTATGTTGCAGTTGTCTCCTAATTTTGGCCAGAACAGAGTTAATTTTTCTTTTCTGCAGTAATGTGGCTGTGGGAGTGTCTAGGAGGTTATTCCATACTACCTTATGTCATTTGCCAGGGGTAGGGGAAAAGGACTTTCTCTCTTGCTTCTGAGAAGAAGGGTGCTCCTTCCACGGGGAAAAAGCATGGCTGGTAAAATGGTTGGTATTGCCACAGACTTTCTGTGTAAATAGTTTCTTTGTCTTATACCTTTTTTTATTACCATTGTTGCTGTTACTGTTCATTTTCTTATCTCATTGCTGTTTCCAGTAAATTGTTTTTCTCAACCTGTCATCTTTGCCTTTTGTGCTTACTAGAGGGGGAAGGGAAGCGAGTGCTGTCATGGTTACAGTGGGAGCACTGAACTGGGGAATATCATTCCTAAACCATGACAAGTTGTTCACATCCAAGTGCTTGGAGAGTCCATGAAGAATCTAAAGGATTCTTTGGGAAGGTTGAATAGGGAAGAGAGAGCTCTGAAAGCTTGAAAGAGAATATTGGGGTTTTGCCAAATGACTGCATAAAAGGTACTGCACATGAGAAATTGTATGTTATGAATGAGGAGAACAATATTCCTTTCCTTCTGATTTTTTTCTTGTCACACTCATGCAAACTCCTTTGGAAACATTTTAGAGATACTTTGATTGGACGACAAAGTCTTTTGCAATAGTACTCCAGCTATTTGCATTCAAGCTGCTGGCTGCACATTTAGGACACTTGTCATATGCAACTGACAAAAATGAAAAGATCTTCAAGCTGGTAGGTCTGCTCAGCAATAGGTCTAGGGAGGTGATTCTCCCCCTCTACTCTGCTCTTGTAAGACCCCACTTGGACTACTGCACCCAGCCCTGGGGCCCCCAACATAAGAAGGATGGGGACCTGGTGCTGTTGGAGCAAGTCTAGAGGAGGCCACGAAGATGCTCAGAGGGCTGAAGCACCTCTGCTATGGAGACAGGCTGAGAGTTGGGGCTGTTTAGCCTGGAGAAGAGAAGGGTCCATGAAGACCTTTTAGCAGCTTTCCAGTACCTAAAGGGGGCCAACAAGAGAGCTGGAGAGGGACTTTTCACAAGGGTATGTTGTAAGCGGACAAGGGGAAATAGCTTTAAACTGAAGGAGGGTAGGTTTAGATTAGATAGTAAAAAGAAATTTTTTACCAAAAGTGGGGTCAGGCACTGGGACAGTTGCCCAGAGAAGTTGTAGATGAGTGTAGTGAGTTGACCTTGGCCAGGTGCCCGGTGCCCACTAACCCACTGTATCACTCCCTTTCCCAGTGGAACAGGGGAGACAATAAGATGGAGAACAAACAGTGGGTGAGATAAGGGAGTTTTATTACCATGAAAGAAAGAAAGAAGTGAGTCTGTGTGCACATAAGCGAAGGAAAAAGTCCATCTCTACTTCCCATCAGCAGCGATGATTGGACACTTCCTGGGAAGCAGGGCTTCAGCACTTGTGATTGTTCCTCCAGGAAGGCAAACATTGAAAACTCACGAATACCCCTCCTTCCTCCTCCCTCCCTTAGCTTTATATATCTGAGCTGACATTATATGGTTGTGTCCCCTCCCAGGATTTTGCCCACTCATCCCTTTGATGGGGGAAGGAATGTCAGAGGGACAGCCCTACCCAGCAGTAGGCAAAACACTGGTCTGTTAACACCTGTCAGCTACTAATGCAAAGCACAGCACTGTGAGGGCTGTGAACTTTATCTCAGTCAGACCCAATACAATGCCCCATCCCTGGAGACATTCAAGGCCAGGTTGGAAGGGGCTTTGAGCAACCTGGTCTAGTGGAAGGCATCACTGCTCATTTCAGGGGGCTGGAGCTAAATGATCTTGAAGGTCTCTTCCAACCCAAACCATTCTATGGTGTCCTCAGTTTTCAGTTTCTACGCAGTATTGCACTTGAGTTTATGTAAGGACCTGATAATAAGAAAAATGCCTCAAAAATTGCTTAGTCATTGTGTCTACTTATCATAATCTCTTTTAACACCTGAAGACTATGTGCGGGATGGACTGTGAGCTGACTTGAGGTCCAGAAAAAGAAGGGCAAAAACTGTGCTAAATCAGGAGGCGAGAGAGAGAGGTGTCGCCATCATATTTTCTGAAAAATCCCTTCCTGGGAAGCTGAGAAACCCCAGAGAAAAATGAAAACAATAATTATCTGATCTTCTTCTGTGTTTTGCTGCTTTGGAATGTGGTTTGGACATTGTTTACCAACTGGTCATTGTTTGATTGGTTTCATGTGAATTGTTTTGACTTAATGACCAATCATGGTCCAGCTGTGTCGAGGCTCTGGTGAGTCACGAGATTTTTATTAGTATCTTCTTAAGCCTTCTGTAAGTATCCTTTCTCTATTCCTTAGTATAGTTTAGTATAGCATAATATAATATAATATAATATAATAATAAATTAGCCTCCTAAGAACATGGAGTCAGATTCATCATTTCCTTTCTGCCATGGGGGACCCTGAAAATACCACAGAGAGGGACAAAAACTCTGCCCTTTGCCTCCTCACCCTGCTGCCTGCTAAAGCCTTTTTACAGCTGTGAAAACAACCTGAAGCCTCCCAGAGCTGAGACACTGCCAGCCTGGGGAACACCCTTTCCTCCTCCCGCCCCCCCCCCCCGCCCCCATCCTGCATCTTTGGAGTGACCAGCACAAGTGGATCGGAGCCACGCATGAGCTGTAGGGACCATGCATTGCATCTGCATTTCAGAAGGCATTCCAGCTAAGCTGTCAACTCCAAATGCAGATAAACTACTTCAAGTGGCAGGGGAAAAAAAAGGCAAAAAGTGCTTGCCCCCCCCCCCCCCAGCAGAAAAGTAGCTGTGTATTGTAAACTATCCTATGCTTTTAAAATAATCTTCGCTTTTTCCAACTTTTCTCTACTTTTTCCCTTTTTTTCTCTTAGCCTCTTTTACAGTTAATAAAGTGAAAATATCATTTTTTTGGTATCAACATTTAACTTTATTTGAGTTTTTATCTCATTTCAGGGAATATTCAAACCTGAAGCTCTTTCTGCAGTTCACAGAGAGCTCTCTCTGCTCCTCTGCCATTAAACAGATTGTAACATCTTATTAATGTGTGCTGCTTCCTTTTTCAGCTAGTTCATTTTGGCATGCCTGAAAATCCCTTCCTGGGGTTGCATGAAGCTAGTTTGTGGGTAACTGCATTCATAGTGTAGGCGTGCCAATAATGTTATGTTAATAGGCCTTGAGATGGTAACTTGTGTGGAATGAAAAAACTCAGCTAGGTTTTTGCTTATCAAGATACAGTCTTGGAATATGAGTATCCAACATGTATTTAGAAAAAGGCCACTTGGTTTTTGATCTTAAACCAACTCATCAATCTATCTTTCAGTCTTAGTTGAAAATTTTGAAACTTGTGCCACAGGGATGTGAAGACACATCAGATAACATTCTTCATTAAGAATTTGAACCATTATAAGATGTCTGATTTTTATGTGACTGTCTTGAAACTGTCAGTCCTGAAAGAAGTAACCATATACTGCAGAATGAAGATCTGAATTATTATCAGATATGTTTCATTTAGGAAATCCCCAAGAAGATTTTATTATGGATGGGAATATTGCTTGGTTACCTTCTGTATGCTCCCTCTGTGAATACCCTGCTCTAAAAGGCTTAATAAAAATGGTGTCGGGGGATGATGCTGGCCAAATGCCAGTGCATTCACGAAAAATCATTCACTTATTCTCCTCTGCTATAGTTAAGCAAAAGAGGGGGAAAGAACAATTTAAAAAAAAGCTCATGGGGTGAGATAACGATTAGGAGGAAACACTTTAAGGGCAAAATAGGCTCAAAACTTGAAAAGATATGAAGAAAAATTTATTAACAGAATTAAAAAGAGGATAATGAGAACTAAAATAAACCTTTAGAACATCTTCGCCCACCCCCAGTCCTACTTTCTTTCCCACCGACAGCGCAGGGAGACAAAAACATGGTCTTTTTAGTCCTTTTGTCACTTCTAAAAATCTTTCTTCAATTCACTTGAAGAGAAGAGTCTCTTCTGCTATGCCATGGGGTACTTCCCATGGGAGACAGTTCTCTGTGAACTTTTCTATTGTGGTTCTAATTTGCACAAGTAGCAGTCCCACCCAAATCTGCTGCAATGTGTAATCCTTCCCACGGGCAAAGCAGTCTTCCCACAACTGCTTTTTTTCCATGGGCCATTTAGTTAATGGGGTTTTGTTTTTAAGGATGAGCTATTCTAGTATAAAAGCAAGGGTCTTTGTCTTCTGTCTCTGGAAGCAAGGGTTCTCTCTCTGTACAAGCCTCTCTCCAGATCACAGCTTCTCAGCATCCACATGCTCCAGCATGAAAACCTTTTTCTTGTGGGCTGCAGGTGAATTCTGCATCCCTCCATGCACTTCATGAATTACAGGGAAACTGTTGTATTATAGTCCTCACTATGGCTTGCAGAAAAATCTCAGCTCTGATGCTTGGAGCACCTCCTTCTCCCCCTCCCTCTATTGCACCGACCTTAGTGTCACCATGTTGTTTTTCTCATATGTATTCATTTTTTTCTTTTCTCTGATTTGGGAGAGAATTGGTCTTTGTCTGGTCTCAAGTTCTATCAATTGAAAAGTTTTTATAGAGTTCTGCAGCACTGAAAAGTTGATTCTGTCCAGGCTCTGCATTGGGGAATTGCTTGTCATGTCTCTCATTGCTCATCACATGGTCCTCACCGGCATCGTACTAGCTGTTCAGGCTGCTGGCTCCACTCCACACTTTTCCTCATGTGGGGCACTGAAAAAATAAAAGCAAACAAAGTTCATTGCGAGCCATGCCAAGGTAGCCGCGGCTGCGTGGTGCTGCCCTGGCTGCCCCGATCTTGGCAACGCATTCCCGGCCACGTGGCCCCAGCCATGTGGTCGCTCCTGGCGCTGGTTTTGGCCGCATGGCTGTTCACGGTGCTGGGATGGTCCCTGGCGGCATGGCCTAGCAGCGCCGCCAAGAAAGGGACCAGCTGGCTCCGCAGGGAAGGGGCCCGGCTTGCCCCCTCACCACTCCTTGGAGGCGAGGGAAAAAGAGAGCTTCCTGTGGTTTTGTCTTTCTTAAATATGTTATCATAGAGGTGTTACCAGCTTCTCTAATTGGGTTAGCAGCATGCCTATTCTCATGAAGCAATATGCAGAATAAATAGACTCCACAACCTTATGTAGTTATGAAGTAGGTATGTATGTCAGTGCCCGGCACAAGCGAGATAGCTCTCATGAAAGCTTGTGCCCCGAGTCCTGGTCTGACCCACATCTTTATTCACGAAGATGTTCCATATGCATTACATTACACAAATTCAACCCCTGGCCCCGCCTGTCCTTTCCTCACATGGTAATAAGATCCACACCATTGTGGGCATGCTTGCTTGCTGTGGTGGTCACATGGGGGTCTTTGGCGGTCTCTGAGGCTGAAGATTGTGGTCTTCCTCATGATTGAACTTTTGAACTTTTCTCCCATTGTGCGTGCGTTGTGGTCCCTTGGTGCTTATCTGAGTATGTCTGTCGCTCTTGATGAGCTTGGAGACAGAGGAGCCTCTTTATCTGGGTTTCTTGCATTCCTTGGTCTTCACCCGGTTTTGTTCTTTATGCAAGAAGCTTCAGAAATGTTTCATTTTCCTATGCCCTTTGTACTATGGCAGAGGTTTCTTAAGTAAAAGGATAAAATTCAACACATAATTCTACAACCTAAAATTTAAATGCTTAATTCATATTGCTAACTCAAGTGAACTCCAAGAACCTCCATTTCACTCAGAGCCAGCCAGCAACTAGTTCTGTCAGACATGGAGGAAGTCCCCAGCAGCTTCTCACAGAAAATCGCTTCCGTGGCTGGCTTCCTCCCTCCTCACCAAAAAACAAGCCATATAGAACCACCACAAATGGTCAGTGGAAGTGGCAGAAAATTTATCAGATAATTAGTGCCTTGTACCTGTATGGACAGAACTAGCAGCTTCATCTTTTCTGAATGGCAAAAGAAATAATGCAAGTGTGTAATTTTTGCAATTTTTCTGTTCTTATGTGGTGGGTTGACCTTGGCTGGCTGCCAGGTGCCCACCAAGCTGCTCTACCACTCCCCTTCCCAACTGGATAGAGGAGAGAAAATAAGATGGAAAACAACTTGTACGTTGAAATAAGTATTTTTACTAAAGCAAAAGCACAAGTTTGCATGTGCACAAGCAAAGTGAAAAAAAAAGAGGTTAATTCTCTACTTCCCATCAGTGAACAATGTTCAGCCACTTCCCAGGAAGCAGGACTTCAGCATGCATAGCAGTTGCTCCAGAAGGCAAACACTGCAAACAACAAATACCCCATCTTCCTCTTCCTTTCCTTAGGTTTTATATCTGAGCTGATGTCATATGGTATGGAATATCCCTTTGGTTATTTTGGATCAGCTGGCCTGGTTGTTTCCCCGCCCAGGATCTTGCCCATCCCCAAGCCTACTGACTGGGGGGAAGAATATTGGAGAGACAGCGCTGATGCTGTGCCAGTAGTAGCCAAAACACAAGTGTGTTCTCAACACATTTCCAGTTCCCAATGCAAAGCACAGCACTGGGACGACTGCTATGGGAAAATGAACTCCAGCTCAGCCCCACCCAATACAGATAAACTGTTAGTAAAGGCATGGTTGAAGATAGCAATTGCAAGCAAAACCTTGTCAGAATTTCAAATAAAGTTTTCTTTAGGTTAGTCCCTAATTCAGCTCCACTTTTTTAATATGGTAATTAATGTATCTCTTGCATACAGAATTTGAAATGCTATGGTAAAGGTTTTTTGTAGTTATCTCAGTTGAATCTCTGAGTCTATGCTTGCATTTACTTGTGTTCTGCAGAATGTATACTCTTATCTGTGAGCAGATTAGCATACAGGAAATCCAAGTGTCTGATACTGTGTTGACCTTTGTGGTATCCTCACTCTGTCACACAACTATATCAAAATATATTGATACTGTAGGGAATCTTCTTGTAACAAAAAGAAGTAGTTTACACCATTTAAATAGCTGCTTTTCTTCAGGCTTACGGGCTTTTAGGCAAAGCTTTGACTGTAAAGTGTATTAGAAACTGGTTCAAAGTGTTAGAGATATCCAGGTATTACAAATATCAGCATTCTGAGAATGAAGAATGTTTTTCAGTCCCCCGTCTTTGCGTTCTACAAAGTATGAGAGTATGGTGGGACTTAGAGAAATGCGCATTTAAAACTCAAGGAACCTGAGAAATTGTTTTGTGAAGAATTCTCTTTTCTCATGACTTTATAGGAACTGTCAGATGCCTGATTAGTCTTTTACATAGATAAAATATTGTACTTTCCTTGATCTGTCTTGTACTTCGTTGTATTTTATTTCTGAAGTTTATTTTTAGTATTGTGTGAGGATTGCTAATAAAACTTTGGGGTTTTGGTAGCCCAAGTTATCTATACACTTGTGAAATTTATGTATAAAACAATTTGAACAAGTCCAAATGCATCTCTTTCTGGCATATAGAGATTAAACTGTATTATAAATCACCTTTTTTTTCTTTCTGATTTGCAGGTAGAAAAAATAACTGGCCACCTCTTCCTGATAATTTTCCAGTAGGTCCGTGTTTCTACCAGGACTTTTCTGTAGACATTCCTGTAGAATTCCAGAAGACAGTTAAGGTTATGTACTATTTGTGGATGTGTAAGTATTTTCATTTAAAGAAAAGGCAAAGTGCATATTTGAACTTGATGATACATACTTGCTACTCTTGCTTTTGCAATATCTGTAATGAGATTTTTTTTAAAATTCAGAAGTCAAATGTTGAAATGAAATCTTTTTGTTAGCTTCAGTTTTAAATGTATTGGATTATTTCATAGAAATTTCCACAGGAAAAAAAGGAAGAGGATTATCCAATGCAGATTAGTTATGGTATAGTTCAGTTTTTTGTTTTTATTATCCCTGTTTTTGTAAAATGAGCTTTGACCATTTATTAATCTAGAAATAATTTTATTGTTTTGAAAATCAGCTTATATATTAAAAAGTATAATTCGCAATCAGTGTTAATAGACTGAGTTTAAGAAGTGTAATATCCATTTGCTTTATAATAACAGTTTTATATGGTTTAAAATCTTTTTAGTTTATAATGGAGACAATATAATTTTAGTCTGTTTTAAAAAATAGTGTAAATAAAATTAGCTGAAAAATCAGTCCATATTACAACTGTCCTTTGTACACCAAAAATGCTCTACAGTCTTTGTAGGGTTCATTATGCTCTCATTCAGGTGCTATGTTTTGACTGGAGAAATGCTGAATAAACCAAATGTACAAATGCCATGACATTTGTCTCTTCTGCCTTGTCCAGTGTGATGAGCACCTAATAAATACTCTGAGACTGATGAAATTCCAAAGATTTAGGTGCTTTGATGACATTAACATATTTTTATGATAATTAAGGGGATGTAAATTTTAGAACTCTTCTGTATTTTTTTTCAAATCTGCATACTTTTGCCTGGTAATCTGGTAGTTTTATTACTGTGACTGAACCATGTCATTGAAAAACATAAAATGAGCAGTCAGCATTGAAACAAGTGAATTCCACTTCATAGTAATCCACAGCTTTTTATAGTCATTGTTGGATTATTAATCTTTAAACAACTGGATTCACTGTAGAAGGTGGGACTAATCACTCATAAATCTCACAGATATTTAAGTTTTATATGAAATCTAAGATCAAGTACTCCAAAATTCTAGGATAGTTACTAATTCTGGCCATTTGCCTGACTGAATTCTAAAAAGTGCCATATGTTTCAAACACGAGGTGAAGTTGGGCAGCGAGAATTGGAATATTAATACTGTTTTTCTTTTTGCTACTTATGTCAATCAATAAAGGAAGCAGTGATATAGTATTTCAAAATGTATACGAGGTGTGCTCTTATACTAAGATGACAGATTTTCTTCCAGGTAGACTGAGATTTTTAACTGAGTCCTCTTGTTCTTTTCCTTCTTTACCTTTTGTGCTCTCTGACTTAGGGATTTCTCAGGAAGGAAAGATGGAAAAGGGCATAATAAAGAAAAAGAAAGACAAATCCATTTCAGGATAAAAAAAATAAAAAGACTGAGAATAGAACTTTGTGCCTTAGGGCTGGATGTTGACTCAATCTTTATGATTTTTATTTCTATGGGATTTGGATCATATATCATTAGAGTGGCTTTGCTTCCTCAGTGGAGGCACTCATTACCATAGCAAACCAACCTGCTTCTCCTTGTTGCTCTACCCTACATTTTATTTCCTCTTCCAGAACTTCCTAGATTTTGTAAGGTCTAGGGGTCAGTGAACATAATCACGTTTGGATAAATCTGCCTGATCAACACTTTGTAAAGTAGGTTAGTTTTCCTCTTCCTTTTTTAGCAGCCCTAAAAACACACCTTTTTATTGAATTTTCATTTTTTGGGTGTTGCTTTTGTTGGTAGTAATTGTTATATCTTTAGTCTTGGTCTGTATGCATCGGAGGAAACTTGCCTGCTTCAGATCTAAATGCTCTTTATCTCTGCTTCTATCCCTATTCTGTGAATTCATCCATCTTTTCTCTATTTGTATCTGAAATCAGAGTTTTCAGATTCCTTGATGTGGTTTTGTCTTTACACAATTTTTTTTTCCCTGGGGAGAGCTTTTCTTTTTTTAACTGACTGACTGCTCCCATGTTTTTATGAACTACAGCAAACAATTAACAATGGCTTCTGTCAGCTGCCAGTGGAGCTTTTCTATACTATCTTGTTTTTGCAACTATTGCTGTTCTAGTTACTTGCAGATAGAACAGCAGTTTGCCTGGCTCTGTACATCAAGCACTACTTTTTTGATCTTTTTTTGCTGTTACTACAGAAATGTCTCTTGACTGCTATCTGACACCAAATATTTTTTGGCTGAAAAGCCTGTTTTCCAGCTATTTTCTGTCTAAGGATACAATCAGTAGTACATATAACAGTCTGTTGATGTTTGTTTTGCCTGTTCCTGAGAGCCTCCAAAAGGATGGACACTTCATAAACTCCCCCCAAGCCTGTTCTAGTATGTTGTCATCTTTATCCTTAGAAAGTGTTTCCATTATATAATTTAATTTTTCCCTTCCTATGGTTTATATTCCCTGTTCTGTCCACTGTTGTTATAGAGATAGATTTATGCCCATTTGCCATCATCTTTTGTCAAAATTAGCATAGTTCTCTCAGCTTTTCTTTGTATATCATGTTTTCTAGAGATCTGTTTTTTGTTGCTCTCTTACAGATTTGACACTTGGTCTACTCCATATTATTATGGGATTTTTAATGTGTATCATCAAGAACTGGAGAATGTGGGCTATGTCAAATATTTTAGCTGAAGTCCTAATGTACCATGTAGAGTTAAAAAAAATACTTCCACATTTTTGGTAGTATGTTCTTGTGTTCTGTGCTGATCTAAGCTTGTTTCAGAATATATTTTTTTCTGATGAGAAATACTTGTGTCACTTGTAAGGTGTGTTTGCAAATGTCTTTCCCTGTCCACAAAGATCAGAACAGACAAGGAATAAAAGGTTAAACTACATTTGAAACCACTCTGATGTGCTTCAAGGCTGTGTGCAATCAGATTTCGCTAGCTTTATCCTCACTTGCCAGTTTCCAGGAGTCTTCAAAGCCCTCCATTTTGCAGGTATCCCATTCCCCTTGAGGCATTCCATTACAGGGTGATAGTCCAGCTGGTTCCTGGAAAGAAGCATTCTTTTGTTGCGTACCCAGTGAGGACTTTGGTTTCCCAGGAATACCATCAATAAAACATTACTGAAATGAAACTTATTACAAAAATCTATTTTCATACAGTCCCAAATGAGACTACAAAATAATCATCTTAATAATGTAGATGCCTAATAGCATAAGTGCAACTTGTGATCTTTATCTACAATTAACTTTCAAACATTAATGGATTATAAAGTGTAATTAATTAAGACAGGAAATGTATATGTAAGTAGAGTTCTATACAAGGAAGCTTACACTAAGAAAAATGTTCATAGAATCATGGAATCCTACAATGGTTTGAATTGAATGGGAGCTTAAAGATAATCTAGTTCTAACTCCCCTGCCATGGGCAGGGACACCTATTAGACCAGGTTGTCCAGACCTCCATCCACCTCTAGGGATGGGGAAGTCTACAGTCTCTCTGGGCAAACTGTTCCAGTGTCTCACCACCCTCACAGCAAACAATTTCTTTCTAATATCTAATTTAAACCTACCCTCCTTCAGTTTAAAGCCATTCACCCTTGTCCTGTCATTACATGCCTTTGTGAAAAGTCCCTCTCCAGCCTCCTTCTAAGTCCCCTGTAGGTACTGGAAGGCTGCTCTAAGGTCTCCTTAAAGCCTTCTCTTTTCCAGGCTGAACAATCCCAATTCTCTCAGCCTTTCTTCATAGAGGTGCTCCATCCCTCTCATTATCTTGGTGGCCCTCCTCTGGACTTGCTCCACCAGGCCAATGTCCTTCCTGTTTTGGTGGGTGTGGGAGACCCCTATGGGGCCCCCTGCGTGAGAGACTCCTTAATAAATGTTCTATGCCAGGACTGAGAGATGAACTGGACTTTTTTCGGTCTTCAGGTTGCTGTTTATTTTTCTCTTATCAGAAGTTCTGCGCGCCGTCTGCACCAGACTTAACACACAGAGGAGACAGCCAAAAAGGTCACAAGATGCATAGTTTCAAGGTCTTTTAAAGCAGTTTCATCCAATTAACTCCTAAAATGTACTTTATTTCTACTTTTCTACCAATATCTAATTATTTGTCTGCTACATAGCACCTGCATTGTAGTTCTTTCTAACCAATCACTCTGTGCTACCAACACTTCTTCATGAAGGAGCCTATTTCACACTCTCTTTGATTCTGATTCATCCCAAAGTCTTGGAAGCCCTCTCCATGGACGAAGGTTAAAAGCAGTGTTTTCCTGGGAATCAGGACCTGTCAGGACAACCAGGGAAATATTCCCCATGCCCTGAGTTCCAACAGGGGGGCTCAGAGCTGGACACAGTACTCCAGGTGGGGCCTCACAAGAGTGGAGTAGACAGGCAGAATCGCCTCTCTGATCCCACTGCTCTGGATGCAGCCCAGGATACGATTGGCTTTCTGAGTTGCAAGTGCACATTGCGAGCTCATGTCCAGCCTCTCATCTACCAGCACTCACCTCCAAGTCCTTCTCAGCAGGGCTGCTCTCAACCTGTTCATTTCTCAGCCTGTATTGATACTGAGGGTTGCCCTGACCCGAGTGCAGCACCTTGTACTTGATCTTGTTGAACCTCATGAGATCCCCATGGGCCACTTGTTGAGCTTGTCCAGGTCCCTCTAGAGCAACTCATGAGTGACTTTTTTTATTGACCTCACCTGCTTCCACAGCTGAATTAGAATCAGGCATTCTTAGATCATTTCAGTGAGTGCTGTATTGGTATAGCTGTGAAATTATTGTCATGTAGACATTGCATGATGCAGACTTCTGCTAAAGCCTTAGGCCATTTCAGCTCTCAGGTGGTCATTATCTCTAATAACTTGTATCACTGTTAAATTTGAAGAGAGAAGTAGATGGAAGGTATTTAAACCATTACCCTGAACATGAAAACACCTGTGTATTCATACAACCACAAAGCTTATCTAGGTGACTTGATGGCATTGGCTTGCAGCAGGTATAGAGAAGAGTGAATAGAGTGAAGGGAGACTTGTCAGTGAATTCCTGTCTTAGTCTGTAGCTTGCTAATACTCAATTTTTATGACTGAGATTCTCTGTGACAGTAGTGAAGTAGACCCCTATGTTGCCAGGGTTATTGTGCTAGTATCAGTAGTGGGTGAGACGTTTCTTCAACCCTCTTCTGCAGTGATGGTATTCTTTTAAAACTTGTCCTGTTTTTGTAACTGCAGTTACAAAAAAAAAAAGTAATAATTTTGGAAAGGTCAAACTCCTTCAGAATGGGGACTTTTCTATTAATCTTGGGCATCTCCCTATTTTCCAGTATTGACTAGAAAAAGTGAGAATACCCCTTTGTAAATTTTTTTCATATTCATCAAAAGAAGGTAGGAATTTGGATTTATATCCATTCTTGGGCTTTATGCAGCAGGCACATACAAATTCTGAAATTAGTTGCTTTCCTAACCTCTTGGAGCAGTGCCAAGTTGTAGATACATTAAATGTTCTTTGTTTAAAAATATGCAGTTTTCTGTTTCTAGTGACTTGTTGGTTATGGAGAGAGACGGGGAAGACTGATTCAGTGATCAGAATCCGATTTTATTGTGGGATAAAAACGCTTATATGCTATTTCAGGGAGACTAGTAATGTGTACTACAATGATTAGGTTAAAATCACATACACAAACTTATGCATATTACAACATCTCTTGCTTGCAGAGTTTAATGAGATTTTCTTTTTCCAGTAAACCTGTCGGATTTAATCTTCTTGCAATCTAGATCTAATTTTCAAAGTTCCTTTTGCTTTTGCCAAGGCATCCTGTTATCACATCTCTTATGTTAACCAGGTCCAAAGTCCATCATCTGTCTTGTGTCTCCCAGCATTCCAACAGAAAATAGGTGGAGGGACAGAAAGAGAGTGACAGAGACAGAATAAGGAAAATATCACCTCCTGTGAATCCTAACAATGTTCCATTGATCCTCTCCAGCTGGTCTTCTTAGTGGTGAAGGTCCCCCCAAAAAGCATAGAATCCCATGGGTTAATATATGCTCAGACTAGGTAGGAAAACCCAGGCACCTCGGGCGGGGGGGGGGGGAATTTGCCATTGTCTTTTACTATGGACTCTGGGTTTGTTGCATCATGTGCAGTACTGTGGTGCAAGGCTTCAGGAATTACTCTAGGGGGCACTTCGGGGAGGTCTTTAATGGATCTGTGGGGTTGGGGGTTCCACAGCTCAGCCAGTTTGTGTAAGGGAGGACAGGTGCTCACTGCCTCTGACCAGAGGTTGCACCCGAAACCTCCTCCCCGCCTCCTCATTTCAGGGTGGAGTCTGTGTAAACCTGGCTTCTGGGAGCTGTGGTCTCTCCTACCCCAAACTCAGCCAGGGAAGAATTTCTGCTATGTTTGGCTTTCATGTGGATGCATTCTTCTCCCTCAGGCTTTTTTGCTTTTCCCTAGACCTGAGGTGATTAAACAATAGTGTGTGCTCTTTATCTTATCTAGGCAGCTTAATTCACAGTCCAGAGTTCCTTCCTCAGGGAGGCTTCTGTGGTTGTAGCCTCTTTATACAGTTTTTGCTATAGTGAGCAACGCTTCATAACAATGTTTAAGGCATGAACCATTTCAGTTCCTGACAGTGCCAGATAGCATGAAAGCAGTATCTGTAATGTTGCTTACTACTGTTGTATCTTTTTTGTTCCAAGAGGTAAATATATTTGAAATAACCTGTGAGGTTTTAATACCAATGCATTTTCTTTAGTAGAAATTCAGTAGCTAACCTGTAACTAGATCTGCCAGTGCAAAAATGTCGGTATTAAGAGCTGAGAACCAAAAAAAGCAGATGTTTAGGACCAATATTATAAGAAATATTTGAGTATTCAACATGTATTAAAGGATCTAGAATAGGTTCTTGCAGATCTTGTTTTACTGAGAAGCATTTTTCCTTAGCTGACTTTTTTTTTCTCTATTACATGTAAAACAAAGAGCTTCTCATTAAAAGGGGGGGAGGGTTGGAAAATTTTCCTTTTGTATTTAATATTAAGGCTGACAGTCCTGCGCTCATTTAGTTGCCTGATTGTAAGAGAAAAAAAATAACTAGCATGTTAAAAAAAGTACAAATATCCAGTAATTACTGTAGAAGTAGCAGTTATTGCAACTGTAGAAGCCTCTTTTTTCATCATTTTAGGTTTGAAAATATTTGATGACTGATTTTTTTCCTTGCTACATGCCTGATATTACTTGAATTTTATTCACTACTTTCAGCTGTGAATATTTAGCCTTAAGCTTAAAAAACTATAAAAATCAGCATAATGCTGAGAGAGGATATTGATTTATTGTCAGCCTGCTTATGTTTTGTTTAAAAATGCACGGTTTAAGTATTACTTTAACAATTGTAATAATTTATTTTATGAACATAATTTAACTAAGATTTTTCTTTGCTTATGCTTCTACAGTCCATACAGTGACACTGTTTCTTAATATCTTTGGATGTTTGGCCTGGTTTTACATTGATGCTACACGAGGGGTTGATTTTGTATTGAGCATCCTCTGGTTCTTGCTTTTTACCCCTTGTTCTTTTGTCTGCTGGTACAGACCACTTTATGGAGCTTTCAGGTAAGAACTTCAGCTTGAATTAAGATCTTTAAAAAAAATACTTCACTTGTTGAAATGCATTAACATTCCAGAATTTGTTTATCATTAAGATAATCCTTCAATGTAATTTCATTAGAAACAAGTAGAACAATTACCATTAATTCAGTTGCTGTATCTGAAATGCTGATGGCAATAGTTAGGAATATTATAGAATATATTTTAAAATATTTAAAAAACATTAGCTCCTGAGAGCACTGAAGGTCCAGGAATGCATCTGAAATGTTTGTACATCAATTCACATAGTTTGAGAAACAAGCAAGGTTAACTGGAAGCATCAGCTCCCAGAGCTATGATATCACTGGTATAAGTGGGACTTGGTGGAATGAGTCTGAAGACTGGATTGCCGAAATTGAGAGCTACAGGCTGTTCAGGAGGAATAAGCAGAGCAGGCCAGGTGAAGGAGTTGCATTGTATGTAAGGAAGAGGTTTGATTGTACAGACCTTAGTGTTAGGGATGATGTGGTTGAGAGCCTCTGGGTGAGAATGAGGAGGATGAAAAACATATGTATTGGGTGTCTATTACTGATCACCCAGCCAGGATGTAAGCCGTGATGACTTATTCTATAGGCAATTAGGAGAAATCTCTGGATTGGTAGCCCTTGTCCTTATGAGATTTCAACTTCCCAGATATCAACTGGGAATACCATATTGCTGTGACAAGCAACCATGGGAAATTCCTGAAGTTCGTGAAAGAACTTTTTAACACAAGGCCTCAGGGAGCCCTCTAGGAAAGATGCCCTCCTAGACTTGTTTGTGAATACAGAAGGACTCATGGGAGATATGATGATTGGTGATTGTCTTGGCAACATTGACCATGAAATGGTTGAGTTTAAAATTTTCAATGTAGCAAGAAACCATGTCAGCAGAGTTCTAAGCTATTCAGGGAGCTACCTAGCAGAGTACCCTGATTTTGAAGGCTTATGAGTCCATGAGTGTTGGTCAGTTTTTGAGAACCACCTTTTAAAAGTGCAGGAGCAGGCAATTCCACTGCATCAAAAGCCAAGCAAGTGAGGCAGAAGAACATGAGCTCCTTGTGGAACTCAAGAGGAAAAAGAAATTGTATGACCTCTGGAAGAAAGGTCAGGCTTAGCAGCAAAATTACCCAGCCATGGTTCTCATATGCAGCAAGAGGACATGAAATGCCAAAGCTGAGCTAGAATTTAAACTGGGAAGTGTTTTATCAGACAAGAAGGGCTTTTCAAAGTACGCCAATAGCAAGAGGAGGGCTAAAGAAAATATTGGACTGCTACTTGATGATGATGGTCACTTGAATAATAGGGATAAAGTAAAAGCAGAGGCATAAAATGTTTTTATTGTCTTATTCTTTAATAAGACTGAGTCAGAGGACTGTGAGTGTGGTAACAGTCACTTTCCATTTGTGGACACTGAAATTGTGAGGGACCAGCTGTATCAGTTGAATGTTCACAAGTCTGTGGGGCCTTAGAGGGTCTGTGGGGCTCTGATACAGGGTATTGAAAGAGCTAGCAGATGTTATGGCAGGATCGCTCTCAATAATCTACCAAAGATCTTTGGAGTCTGGGGGGGGGTCCCTGCTGACTGGAAGCTAGGCAATGCTATTCCAATTTACAGAAAAGGCATGAGAGAAGACCCAGGGAACTACAGATATGTTGTTAGTCTAGCCTCAGTACCTGGAAAAATTATGGAGATTACGCTGGGTGCTATTGAAAAGCATTTAGAAAACAATGCAATCATCAGGCACAATGTGGGTTCACAAAGAAAAAATCCTATTTAACTAATTTGATATCTTTCTATGATAAATGTCACTTGCTGTCACTCTTGCGCCAAGAATGACACAGGAACAGGTGAGAGGCAGTATTGTAGAAAGAGCAAAAGGAGGTTTTATTCAAGAGAACTGCACGGTTTATATAGAGTGATACAATACATTCTATTTGATTGGCTAGTTAACAAAACACCATTCTCATACACCATCCTTGAGAAGAACAGAAAGACAAAGTAGAAAAACACCACCTGCAGATTGTTTATACTAACAAGTTATCACATTCTTACAACTCCCTGAAAATTCTCACAAGCCGCTGTGAGAAACACTTGCTGTTTCTCTCTCTCTGTCCCATGGCATCCACAACTTGCCTAGTGGATGAAAAGAAGGCAGTGGATGCATTTTTTTCTCAATTTTAGGAAGGCCATTGATACTGTCCCTCACAGCATCCTTCTGGACAAGTTGTCCAACTGTGGGATGAGCAGGTTCATGGTGTGCTGGGTGAAGAACTGATGTAAGGGCAGCGCTCAAAGGTTTGTAGTGAATGGAGCTACATCTGCCTGGTGACTATTCACTAGTGATATCCCTCAGGGTTCAATTTTAAAGCCAGTCAGTCCTGTTCAATATTTTTATCAATGATCTGGATGCAGGAGTTGAATGCACCATTATCAAGTTTGCTGATGATACCAAACTGAGAGGGGCTGTTGGCTCTCTTGAGGGACAATAGGCCTTGCAGAGGGATCTAGATAGGTTGGAGCATCGGGCAACCATCAGTGGCATGAAATTTAACAAGTCCAAGTGCCAGATCCTGTACCTGGGATAGAGTAATGCTGGGCACAAGTATAGATTGGGAGAGGAGTGTGGGAAAAGCAACCCTGCAGGAAGGGATCTGGGAGCTCTGGTCAGCAGCAGGCTCAGTATAAGTCAGTAGTGAACCCTGGCAGCCAAGAGAGCAAACTCCATCCTGGGGGGCATCAAACACAGTAGAACCAGTTGGTCAAAGGAGGCGATGATCCTGCTGTATTCACTGCTGATGTGGCCTCACCTTGAGTACTGTGTGCAGTTGTGGGCCCCACAACTTAAGGATGTGAAAGTCCTTGAATGTATTCAGAGAAGGGCAACCAAGCTGGTGAAAGGGCTGGAAGAAATGTCCTGTGTGGAGCAGCTGAGGACACTGGGTTTGTCTAGTTTGGAGAAAAAGAAGCTGAGGGGTGACCTCATGGCTCTCTACAGCTTCCTGGGGAGGGGAAGTGGAGAGGGAGGTGCTGAGCTCTTCTCCCTAAGATCCAGTGACAGGACGCATGGGAGTGGTTCAAAGCTGAGGCAGGGGAGGTTCAGAGCTGACAGTAGGAAGCATTTCTTTACTGAGAGGGTGGTCAGACACTGGAACAGGCTTCCTAGAGAGGTGGTCGATGCCCCAAGCCTGTCAGTGTTCAAGAGGCATTTGGACAATGCCCTTAATAACATGCTTTAACTTTTGGTCAGCCCTGAAGTGGTCAAGCAGTTGGACTGAATGATCATTGTAGGTCGCTTCCAACTGAAAATATTCTGTTTGATTCTATTTATAGCTTTTACCATTGACATAGTATTTGTAGGAAATATTTAATTTTGTATTGAGCTGATAACAGTTTTAAGGAAAATTTTCATTAAATCTGTATCCCTTCATGGGCAGGTTAATAGTTAACGATGTCTTTAATATTTGGCTTCCTGAATGAACTTCATAAAACCATAGACTTAAAAAATCTTATGTTGCTAAGTGACCTGTAGTGTCTGTAATTGAAGGAGGCTGATAGTCTTAAAAATGAGTAGATCAGGTACGTATTGATTAAATTCTAATATTTTCCTAGTTTTTAGCAGTCTGAATTTTGAAAACCTTGACAAGCTTGACAGGTGGTATCTTAGTCTTGAAAAATTGAATGGTTGGATTGACTGCAAAATTGAACTCTCTTTTTTTTTTTGGTGAAAATCAGCATGTAGAGATTCTAAATTCCCATACTCAGAGTATTTTTTTTTATTTCCTTTTCAGATTGAAAATAATCTGGATGTTCTCAGTTTAAATGCACTAATTTTTTTTAAGAGATAGACTGATAGGCATAAATTGCAGTTGAGCATTGAGCATAACTTTTAGACTAAATGAGATGTTTCTTTTTGCTAGCCAAGAAGATATTGCTGTACCTACACATCTTTGAGGAATCGTATAGTCTAACTTGCATTTATTTGTACACTAAATTCTTACATTCTTAAGGCTAAAAATGAGAAGAGTATTTTTAATTTTGGTCTAACTTTTGTTGATGACTGGTTACAATGTGGGTAGAAATTGAGATAAATTAAAAATACAGAGAGTTGCCAGTATTTTAAAATTATACTATTTCATTTTCATCATAAATATTGCATGCTCTCTCTTAGTAGTGTTCTTTTATATGAAATTATTACTCCTGATGTGGTGGAATTCAGTGTCATGTTACTTTTCAGGGTTTTAGATTTAGTAAATCCTTAGCATTTCTTAGTCACTATTTATTGTTTGGAAAAGGAAAACTACTACTTGCATATTTAATTTTCAATCATCTGTTCAGCTGAAATAGGGTGAACTTGTTGAATAAATAGAAAATAACAAGTACCCTTCTGCAGAATGACCTATTACTGGCAAATTCTTGTTGAGTGACTTAAGTGATCTTTAGTTCCTTTAGAAATTTGGTAGAAAGCATGTAATGCAGGTATTAGTTTTCATAGTAATACATTGAGGTCTTTGAGATTCTGCCTGCATGTTTATATTTGGGGATTTTTACAAGCTATTTGTCAGGCTAACATTTTAGTAATTTAAACAGAAAACATATCTTGTATATTTTGTTTTTAAACAACAACTGCTTCAGTATTCTGATCCACATTGTGTTTCAGCGATTCCATATTAGTTTTTATTGCTTCTTACAAGTAAAATATTTTCTTCCCATCATGCCAGCACTGTGAACTTCAGTTTAAAAGTGGACTTCTGTTCTTTATGCATTGTAGCAGAAGTTGTATGTTTAGTCTGAGGCCCTGCTGTGTGCTGAACAGAACACTAGAACAGAACACTAAAGAATAGTATCTTGCTGTTATTCTCACCTCTGTGAGAAGTGCAAATGGCAAAAGTACTATATTAAAGAAGTAGCAACAGCTCATATATAAACACTCTACAAAACCACAGAATTACTGGAACTTCAAGTCACCATCAATAAAATATAAAAGCACTTTTTCTTTAGTTAATGCAGAAAAAAAATGTAGATTGGTACTACAATATTTGTAAAAAGTAATACATTTCCTGGCTGCTTTAATTTTCCCCCCCCCCCCCCTCTTTCAGGAGTGACAGTTCATTCAGGTTCTTTGTGTTCTTCTTTGTATATATCTGTCAGTTTGCTGTACATGTACTTCAAGCTGCAGGATTTCAAAGATGGGGAAACTGGTGAGTATTCTGTTTTCTGTAGCATTGTATTGTCTGTAAGACAAACTCATATTTGATATAGCAGCTGCAAACCAGTCCATGGTTTTAAAAGAAAAAATAATCTTGTGTTCACTGGAATTCTTACATTTAGCAGTCAAAAAAGCATTTTTGGAGTGCTCTTAGCTAGAAAAAGTATGTGAAACATATCCCAAGAGTATGAGATACTTCTGTTATTAGACTGGTCAAAATTCTGTCTTTCAGTGTAAGCCACAGTCGTGGTTTAACCCCAACCAGCCCTCAAGGCCCCCACAGTTGCTTGCTCACTCCCCCACCAGTGGGATCAGGAAGAGAATCAGAAGGGTAAAAGCTATAAAACTCCTGGGTTTAGATAAAGACAGTTTAACAGGCAAAACAAAAGCCACACACACAAGCAAAGCAAACCAAGGAATTAATGTACTGCCTCTCATACACCGGCAGGTATCCAGCCATCTCCAGGAGAGCAGGGCCCCATCACACATAATGGTTACTTGGGAAGACAAATGCCATCACTTCAAACTTCCTCCCCCTTCCTCCTTATTCCTCCCACTTCATATACTGAGCATGATATCACATGGTCTGGACTATCCCTTTGGTCAGTTGGAGTCATCTGCCCCAGCTGTGTCTCCTCCCATGCACCCCCAGCCTCCTTGACAGCTTGGCAGTATGAAAAGCAGCAAAGTCCTTGCCTCTGTGCAAGCCTTGCTCAGCAATAAGAAAAACATCCCTATATTATAAACACTGTGTTCAGCACAAATCCAAAACACAGTCCCATACCAGCCACTGGGAAGAAAATTAATTCTACCCCAGCCAAAACCAGCTCAGCCACTTTATACTGCTCTTTTATTTATTACCTCTCCTCTTTTAGTGGTGTGTGGAGAACTTATTTGCTCTATATTTAGGATAAAGAAATAAGCAAAACTTTAAAAAATGTAAATAATTTAGGCTATAATAATTTACTGTTTGAATATTATTTTGTATAATTTGTTATTTCTAATGATATTAATATACTTACAAATAAAATTTATTGCTAAAATTGGAAGAATTAATCAACAATGTATTTCAGTGAATACAGTGCTATATCTTTGATATTATTTGAAAAGCTGCTTTGTCCAAGTCAGCTTTTTATTCAGTAATAGTTGATTTTCATTTTGATGCTTATAAATATATAAGCTTTTACTTGAACTTTTTATGTAGATATAGCTTTGTTTATATAGATATAGCTTTATTTAAAGCTACAAGGTCTAATATTAGGATTTTACAAGGAAAAAATATTGGGAATCACTCACCCTTCTTGGGGAAAAAAAAAAACAAAAGGACAAACTTGAATTAACAAAAAGCATGGTTGTAGTAGCCAGCTATAACTGGCAATAATGTAGCTGGGTAATGACATTTCTGTGTATCAGCAGTTTTCTGTTAACCTCCAAATGTACATAAGGCAAAAAAAAACATCACTGCTTTAGAACTGGAGTAAAAGGAAAAATCCTGGTTTATTATTTTCACTCTCAAAGCCACTATTTGGCTTTTTCCTAGATAACTTGATTGACATGAACAAAGTGAAAAAGTTATTTTAGAAAACCAACTCTCCAAGTATGGCATGTGTACTTTTAAGGATACCTGGGGAAGTGGCATGAAAAATAGCCAGATCATCATCAAACGCTAATTGCAATTTTGTTTTTGGAGTTCTGTGCTAGAGTCTAATTGAACATAGGGGACATCATAGCAATTTAAAACAAGTAGAAGAAAGTTTTAAGGTTGTTTCAGTTTACATAAATGTTTTGCTCTTTTTGGTGAAAGAATCTTTTCTGTCTTAATGTGTTATTTTTATTAGGGCAACCTGCTCTTTTGTGACTTCAAGTTTATGTTGATGTTTCAAATTTGAAGAAAGGGGAAATACTTGAAGTAATATTGATGTAGCAATCTGCTCTCTTAATTAATCTGACACTACCTACTTAAAAAAAATATATTAATCACAGTTGAGAAGGCATCACTGTGTGGTTACAGTAAAATTAATTATCCCACATAAAAGCTCTGTGTGTGTGCACCATATTTTTGGTTTTCTTTTGTAAAAAGTTAGAAGTTATCTTTTTAGGGATGTTTTCTCTTCCACAAAATCATGTAGTCTTAAATTATTCTCAAATTACAGTATGACAAAAAAAAAAACCCAAAAAGTGATAAGCAACTCTAATGTCTCAATTTCCTCACAGCTCTCCTGAAGGATAATCATCTTTGCTAAAATGTTTCTTATAGTTTCACTGCATGAATTGGGAAAAATGGCAACTAAGCTGTAAAAGCTTATAGAACAGAAATATGCTCATATATAATTTTCATGAGGTTTTCTTCAAAAATATTCAGTTGATCAGAACCAGGGTGTTATAAAGCTTCCCTTGATGTGGATAACTGTGGTTGAACGGTTCACGTGCTGTGCTAGTCAAGTTTGTATTTTCTTTTTTCTTCAGTGGGTGGATTTCGTCTCTTACTAGTCTTAATAAGAGTATCCCTGTTGGCATTATGATGACAATCATAGCTGCACTTTTTACAGCATCTGCTGTTATTTCATTAATTATGTTTAAAAAGGTAAGTTACTTATTATTCCCCTCTTCTGTTTTCTATGTTCTGGAGTTTGCTTTCCTGCTTGAGAGGCAATCTCTCTCCAAGTAATGGGGATTAAATTATATTCTTGCGCATGTGCTTGTGCCTTACCTTTTAACAACTGTGCTTCAGTAGTATTTTTTTGCTTATACTGTCATGGAGTTATGAAATGCTGTTTTTACAGTGCACTTATTTCTGCAAATTAAATGGGGAAGGATAGCTTTGAATAAGAGAAGCTGGGAGGTGAGCCCACAATTAAAGGGTAGGTGAATGCACTGGACACTAAGGTAGGACTTGTAGATGCAAGGTTGCAATTTCCAAATCTGTGGTGATTCATCAGGCTGAGTGAAGCATGATTCAAATGATTTCTAAGTTTCAGCTCTTATAAAAATTATTCCTCATTAAAATCAATAGAAGTGTGAAATGCATAGCACTTTGGAAAATTATTTTTATTTCTCTGCTTGGATTATTTTAACATTTTGCTGTCAATTAATGATTGCATAGCATAAAACCTCAAAGATGCTGTTCTCCCTTGGTTTCTTTTTGTGAATTTCCATCCGGAAAGCCTAAGTTTAGATAATAATGTGCTAGTAAGCCTTTTATGTTGTTTCAATTAAATGTAACTGATAATTCTGCTGCTGATATGCTGGTAATTCTAATAATTCAACTGCGGTTACAGTTCCACTTAAAGGTCTTCATGTACCCAAACTCTACTGGCCTATTTATAGTAAGGTAGAAACTTCCTTTCTCCTTATTTGTTTTTGCATAAATACTCAGGCATAGGAGAAAGAAACAAATGAAAAATATGTATGGTGAGCATTTTTTACACTCTTTCTACCACATGAATCTGAATTCTTTTCAAAAAACATGTAAACTTATATATGATCTGGTGACATTTATAACAAAAAAAAAAAGTTACATGAATTTTCCTGCTATGCTTATAGAATCATAGAATTGATAAAGTTGGAAAAGACCTCTAAGATCATCAAGTCCAACCATCAACCCAGCACCACCACCATGTTCACCACTAAACCATGTCTTCAAGTATCCACATGTTTTTTGAACACTTTCAGGGATAGTGACTCTACCACTTGCCTGGGCAGGCATTTCCATTAAGAAATTTTTCCTAATATCTAATCTAAACCTCTCCTGGCACAACTTGATGTCATTTCCTCTTGTCCTATCCCTTGTTACTTGAGAGAAGAGATCAACTCCCACCTTGCTACAGCCTCCTTTCAGGTAGCTGTAGAAAGCAATAAGATCTCCCCATAGCCTCCTTTTCTCCAGGCCAAACACCCCCAGCCCCCTCATCTGCTCCTCATAAGACTTGTGATCCAGCCCCTTCTCCAGCTACATTACCCTTCCGTGGACACACTCCAGCACCTCAATGTCTTTTTTGTAGCGAGGGGCCCAAACCTGAACACAGGATTCAAGGTATAGCCTCACCAGTGCCGAGTACAGGGGGACGATTGCTTCCCTGGTCCTGCTTCCCGCACTATTTCTGATACAAGCCAGGATGCCATTAGCCTTCTTGGCCACCTGGGCACACGCTGGCTCACGTTCAACTGGCTACCAATCAGCAGCCCCAGGGCCTTTTCTGCTGGGCAGCTTTCCAGCCACTCTTCCCCAAGCCTGTAGTGCTGCGAGGGGTTGTTGTGGACCCAAGTACAGGTTCTAATGCCTGGCCTTGTTAAATCTCATATATTTAGCCTCAGCCCGTCAATCCAGCCTATCCAGATCCTTCTGTAGACCCTTCCTATCCTCCAGCAGATCAACACTCCCACCCAACTTGGTGTTTTCTGCAAACTTGCTTCAGGTGCACTCGATCGCCTCATCCAGATCATCAATAAAAATATTAAACAGGACTGGTCCCAATACTGAGCCCCAGGGAACACCACTCATGACCGGCCACCAGCTGAATGTAACTCCATTTACCACTGTTGTAGTCTTGTTGTATTTCTAAAGTCCCATATTGTCGTAAACATATTTCTAAAGTCTCATACCTTCTTGGTGATACTTCTTGGGGGCAGTTCTTCACAGCTCTGACTTCTTCTCCTGCTTGTTATCAGCTCAGCTCAACTGGCCAAGCCCAGCCCCTTTTATCCTAGTTATCTTCACTAGCTACAGCTGCAGCCCAATTAAGGACATTGCAGCTGCAGCCCATCAAAACAACCAGGGCTTATCAGGGCAAGGCCTATATACAGATATTCAATATACAATACAGATATTTTACTAAGACTCCTACTATATACAACCACTCTGGGCCCGGCCATCCAGCCAGTTTTTTACTCAGTGAAGAGTGCATCCCATCCGCACTTTGGGAAATCAGTTTCTCCAGAAGAATGCTGTGAGAAACAGTGTCAAAGGCTTTACTGAAGTCTAGGCAGATGACATTCACAGCCTTTCCGTCATTCACTAAGTGGGTCACCTTGTCATAGAAGGTCAGGTTCTTCAAGCAGGACCCGCCTTTCCTAAACCCATGCTGGCTGGGCCTGATCCCCTGGCTGTCTTGCACTTGTTGCATGATGACACTCAGGATGATCTGCTCCATGACCTTCCCCGGCATCAAGGTCAGGCTGACAGGCCTGTAACTCACTGGGTCCTCCTTCTGACCCTTCTTTTAGATGGGCATCACATTTGCTCACTTCCAGTCATCTGTGATCTCCCCGGTTGATCAGGACGGCTGGTAAATTATTGAAAAGGACTTAGTGAGTTCTTCCACCAGCTTTCTCAGTACCTTTGGGTGGATCCCATCAGGTCCTATTGGCTTGTGCAGGTCTAAGTGGCATATCAGGTTGCTGACCATTCCCTCCTGGTTAACGGGGGTTTCATTTTGCACCCTGTCTGTTTTTCAGCTCAGGGGGCTAGATACCCAGAGGACAACTGGTCTTGTTATTGGAGACTGAGGCAAAGAAGACATTACATACCTCAAACCTTTCCTCATCTTTTGTTACTGTTTCTCATCATATCCAACAAAGGATGGAGATTCTCCTTAGCCCTTCTTTTGTTGCTGGTGTATTTGTAGAAACACTTTTTGTTGTCTATAGTAGTATAGTAGGAGTCCCTGTAAAATCTATGTACTGTATAAGTGGCCTTGCCCCCGTCCTAGTTATTCTAAATAGGCTACAGCTGTGATACCCTTAATTGAGTGGCAGCTGTGGCCAATGAAGGCAACTAGGATAAAAGGAGGGGGGGGGGGGGGGGGGGGGGGGGGGGGGGGGGGGGGGGGTGAGCTCCATGGGGGAGCCCTGGAGGAGCCACAAGGAGTGGTGCTGGTAAGAAGAGCTGCATGGTAGAAAACCAGCTAGAAGGTATGGACTTTAGAAATAATATAACAACAGTATGGTTGCAACAATTGTCTTTTACAGCAGTAACCACATTAAGTTCTAGCTGGGCTTTGGACCTTCTAATTTTTACAACATCCTTATAGGTCTCCCAAGCTGCCTGCCCCTTTTTCCAGAGATGGTAAGCTCTCTTTTTGTCCTGATTTCCAGCCAAAGCTCTCTGTTCAGACTGGCCAGTCTTCTTCCCTGACAGCTTATCTTTTGGCACATGGGGACAACCTGTTCCTGTACCTTTAATTTTTCCTCCTTAAAGCACATCTAATCTTCCTGGACTCCTTTGCCTTTCAGGACTGCCTCCCAAGGGACTCTCTCAACCAGTCTCCCAAACAGGCCAAAGTCTGCCCTCTGGAAGTCCAAGGTGGCAGTTTTCCTGCCCCCCCCCATCCTTACTTCTCTGAGAACTGAAAATTCTGTTACTTTGTGATTGCTGTGCCCAAGATGGTCTCCAACCATCACATCACATCACCAACACATCTTTCTCTGTTCAAAAACAGCACATCCAGCAGGGCTTCTTCCCTTTTTGGCTCCCTTACCAGCTGTGTCAGGAGGTTCTCTTCCACACACTTCAGGAACCTCCTGGACTGTTTCCTCTTTACTGCATTGTATTTCCAGCAGACATGTGGTAAGTTTAAGTCCCCCATGAGAACAAGGGCTAATGATTGTGAAACTTCTCCCAGCTGCTTGCAGAATATTTCATCTGCATCTTCATTCTGGTTGGGTGGTCTATAACAAACTCCCACCAGGATATCTGCCTTGTTGTCCTTCCCCCTAATTCTTGTCCATAAACACTCAACCCTATCATCACTACCATTAAATTCTAGACAATCAATACACTCCTTAATATACAGGGCTACCACACCTTCCTTGCCTGTTGCTTCTGGAGTGTCTATAGCCATTCATTGCAACACTCCAGCTGTGAGAGTCATCCCATTGTGTCCGTGATGGCAACTATATTATAGTTTTTCTGCTGCACAATGGCTTCTAGTTCCTCCTGTTTGTTGCCTGTTCTGTATGCATTGGTGTAGATGCACTTCAGTTGTGCTAATCACCCTGATGCCTTTTTTGCATGGAGATGCCCTAATTCCTGCATGACTATTCGCAGGTGCTTCTGGGATTTCTAACATCAATAATCCCTGCATACTTGCTGCCATATGGATCTTCATCCCCTGCCTCCACTGATATGGCAGACCGAAGGACCTTGCTAGCTCACTGTCCCTTCAAGCAGTGGTGTGTCACCCCCAGGCTTATCTCTCTCCAGTCTGGCTTTATCCCTGTCCTTCTTCCAATCTAGTTTAAAGCTCTCAAGTAGCCCTGCTCACTGCTGAGCCAAGATTCTTTTTCCCCTTTGACACAGGTAGGCCCCATCTGTTCTCAGCAGGCTCAGGGTCATGTAAACCAACCCATGATCAAAACTCACAAAATTCTGCTGGTAACACCAGTCTCAAAGCTAGATATTCATCTGCATGATCTTCCTGTTTCTTGCCCCATCATTCCCCGCAACTGGCAGGACAGAAGAGAACACAACTTGTGCTCCAGATCTCTCAACCAGTCATCTCAAGGCCCTCAGGTCCCCCTTGATTGTCCACAGGCTTCTTGTTGGACTTCATTGCTGACCACCTGGAAAGCCAATAGTGGGCCATACCAAGTTGGGAAATTTCTTAGTTATGTCCCTTACCTATGGGTTGGGTCCAGTTGGCATATCCATCCCTCTGTTCTTCTTAGAAGGGATTCACCAATGACAACTACCCTTTATTTCTTAACTGAGGTGGTTGTGATGCAGGGGGTAGGCTGCTCTGCCTTAGGTGAACCCTTCAACCTGGAAGAACCTTCATTCACATTTTCATTTCCCTGGTCCTCAAGTTGCAGCGGGACCGAACATGCGACTAGCATGTCTTGACCCTACCTCCTCTTGGAATTTCTATCTGAACACTGCTGGAACCCAGGTGTTGGTAGCTATGTTTGTTCTTTTCTATGTCTTTTCTGTCTCTCTTCTTCTTCTAATTCCTTCTTCTCAGAATTTTTGAGTAACTTAAAATCAAATGGGCTTGGAGTTTGCTAAGTTGAATGGGCAAAGGTAATGCTTTGGGAAGTGTTTCATATTGATTGAATGCTGCTCTAAACCTTTTGCCAAAGTTTTTTGATTTTCTACAGTTGCCAGTAGGTTGGTTTTTTTTTTTTTGACCTCTTGAGAACATCTTGTTAGTATTTCTCCCATGCCTCTAACTCAGAGTACATGAATGACCGCAAGCCCTTTTAAAAGTCTCGTTGAGCAAGGTTTTTTGGGCCTTATATCCCCACAATTAATATACTGGGTGTATGTTCCATGGTATGGAATATCCCTTTGACCAGTTCAGGTCACCTGTCCTGGCTATGCTCCCTCCGAGCTTCTTGTGCATCTCCTCCCTGGCAGAGCATGAGACATTGAAGACATTGAAAAGTGCTTGACTCAGGGCAAGCACTGCTCAGTGACAACCAAAACACTAGTGTATTATCTGCATTATTCTCATACTGAATCCTAAACACAACACTTTAGCAGCTACTGAGAAGAAAACTAACTCTCCCAGCAGAAACCAGGACAAATGTTCAGTCATAACTTAATAGGCACTTGCAACCATGTCAATCAGTAAAATTAAGATTGTATTATGTAAAAAAGTTCACTGAAATGTTATTGACACAGTAGATTCAAAAATATTTTTTTCTTTTGTTTCTTGCTGTTACTTTTAACAAGCACCCTTAGCATACGTTATGCTAAGGATACAGTCTATTTGTGTATTTAAATGTTTTGTTTCAGACAGTAGATAGCACACATGCGAACTTGGAAAAAGGTACAGGCATCCTACGGTCAAACTGCATGCACAGCAGGACAATCAGAAGTTGTAGAATTTGTGGGGGGAAAAAATTCTGTTTATTCATTTTCAGATTATCCCAAACATATGAACAAACCAGATTTTTCTACCACACGGCTCTACTTCATGTTTGAGACTTTGCTATTACTCTACCAAGAAATTGAAGCTTCAGCATGCTTTTTTTACTGCTTTTCCACCTCCCTAGGTGCATGGTCTCTACCACATTACTGGTGCTAGTTTTGAGAAAGCGCAGCAGGAGTTTGCAACAGGAGTGATGTCCAGCAAAACTGTACAAACTGCTGCAGCCAACGCCGCATCAACAGCAGCAACCAGTGCAGCTCAGAATGTGTTCAAGGGTAACTGAATGTAGAGAAATATAAAAAATCATGACAGTTCTCTTCCATTGTACTTTATTTTCCAGTCACTTATTATATTCCCTAAAAACATATATCAGGATACACACAGCATATTTGTTTCTTCTGCAGCAGTGCATAGGAAAAATGGGAAATGTTTGTTTATTTTATAATTTGTTTATTTTTAAAAGATAACCATTCTCTGTGCTTATTTGAAATGTTGCATTTTGGAATAATAAACTTTCCTTATTTAGGGAGGATAAGTGATTTCAACAACTGAATGAGAATGAATTGTTGTATACAATGATCAAATATAATATATTAAGAATTTGGAGAGTTTTTTAGTGGTTCATCTTGGTGGGTTTTTTTAACTTCAGGAAAGAACTTTGGCTAAATTGTTTTTCTTTGTAAAAACTGTTTTCCCTATTTCTGCTATAAATGGGGTAGACTGAGAGATGTAAAAAGTTAGGTTTGGCTATGCTTTTGCAATTTCAGCAGCTGCTGGAGGACAAATACAATTAGAATAGATATAAATTATTTTCTTGGGTTGTTTTTAGGATAAGTCTTTTGATAGAAACCTGTAATTTTGCATGAATACTGTCATCTGTACTTGTTTAAACAGTGTTTTGGTCCAGAATTTGCCTGCACAAAGTTATATCATTTGTTTCTATCTATTTTCATGGAGTGTTCTCTACCTGTGAGAAATTACTATGATGCAGAAACATTCTCTGTAATAGAATGTACAATGCATTATATAGTTTAAGCAAGTTAACTGATGGTTTCAATCACAGATCTAAATTATTATATATTTTCTATTTTTAATTTCAGTATTCATGTCTTGGGGCAGTCATTTTGTTGGTAAAGAAACAAATATTGACCTCTAGAACACTAGTTTCATGCCATACTTCCCTCTTACATGCAGTGGTATTTTTGTTGTGTTTGGGATGTGTAGATTTGCATTTAACAGTGGTAGTAAATCTCCCGCCTTATCAGTCACAATGTTTACTGCTTGTCCAAAAATCTAAATATACAGTATTTAATTTCCTAAAATCATGCTTTTTAAGCAATGGCGTTTAACAGATACATGCTTTCATTTTAATTTAACTCAGCTATTTCTGTGATTTCATTTAAGAGGGAAGGAAAAACAGCTTTTAAACTTTTGAATTAGAAAAGTGAGAAATCTTCATCTTTCACAAAGCTAATTTTAGCTCATTGAACTGGAGGCCTAAGAGGTTAAATTGGTGCTGTGGAACTGAACAGTCCATAATGGTGCATACTATCAAAATATTCTAGAATTGAATCAGATCTTTCTATTAAGTGCTGTTTCTCTCCTTTGATGGCTATTTGATATTCTTGGATTGCCTCATGAGTCTTATGCACAATACTTGGGCTTTTTTTAAACTCTGTTTTAGCAAATTAAAACAGGAAGGGACCCCATCCCATAACCTGTATAAGTACACACTGTAGATGAAATTAATTCAGCTCTTAAGGTGTATTACCTTTAGTAAAAGGTAAAAATTCTGAGGCCCCTCCATGTTCTGAATGTGAACAGACTTTGATAGATTTTTTTTTTCACTGCAGTGTATTTATAATAGCATAATAGTATTACAAAAAAGAAAATCTGTTGCTTAATCCCCTGATCAGGACTGTACTGTTAGCATGAAGTCCCTTTCTTTAACCAGTTTCATTAAATCCATCTTGCATTTGGACTAATGCAGTAGTTTCACCTATGCTGAAGTTTATATTACTGAATATACTTATTTCTAAATATTCTCTGCATCATGAAGTTAAAATTAATTTAAATATTCCATGTAATAGGGGCTCTACAATTCTATGCTAACACTAAACTTAAATTTGGGTGGAATGTTATTAAACACTTTCCAGACAGAAGTCACAATTTTCTGTTGAGATCAGGCATCACACCTCTAGCAGCTGTATCTCAAAATCGTTCTTTTCATAATCTTTTTTTATTTAACTTGAGGGTTGTATCTAGGAACTCTACTATGGTTACTTTTGAGTTGAATTTAAGAAGTTCTCTTGGATATCTTTTGGATATGAATCCCAGGGACATCATCCTTGCAATTTAATTTAAGTTCTAAGATTGCATAATAGCATACATTACCAAAATATATTATGAAAGAAACATTAGGAATAAAACCTGAATTTGACAGTTAGATTCCCCCCTCCCCCTCAAAGTTTAACTGTTCATTGAGAAAACATATTTAATGGTTTTATATATATATATATATGGATTGTTGATTTGCAATGTCATGGGTTGAATGTACAAATTTTAACCTCCTAAGTGAAATTCAAGGTTCAATTACATGTGAATTATTCAAACCAGAAATCTCTGATGTTTTGCAGCCCTAAAGGGAGGGAGGTGGTGTTTGAGTTTACCTTTGACAACAGAAGGTTGATATTTGTTAGAATATTTTGTACCTAACTAAGACTAGATTTTACACTTATTAATTAATCAGAGTATGGTGCCCACTTAAGTTGTCATTTTGTAGTATTGTAGCAAATTGAGTTCACAGCATGAAGTTTAAACACTGGAGTGTCTGTAGTCATTGACTTGTAATTTAGGAGTTGATTTTATTTATCTGGGGGATGTTTGTATATTTTGTAAATTACTAATAATGCTCTGCCATCCTGATGAATGTCATAGTTCTCTACAAATGCACTTCTGTCCTTCTGTTGCATGTCTGAGTAGTTCAGAAGCTTTGTATACTTATTGTATTAACCCAGTGTCATAGAATAAAAAAAGATTTCTTTTTCTGAATGTTTGATCTGTAAAGTTTTGAACAATATAGGGATTTTTCTTTTGAAAGTCAGGATAACATGCAGGGCAGATTATCTACTTACAAGTGCTCTCAGGCATATGGTGTGATTCCGGGGTGTTTTGTGCAAGGCCGGAAGCTGGACTCTGATCCTCATGGGTCCCTTCCAACTCAGGATATCCTATGAATTGTAAAAACCAAGTGAATAGAACATGCAGTAGGAACAGAACAGGACCTGTAAATTTATTTTATATGTATACCCACAAAACAATAGTTATGATTTCTGGAACATTACTGATCATGTAAAACAGTTAAAAGGCTCAACAGTTTATAGTTAATACAGGGATCATTTATTCCCTATATATTGTATAGAGACATGATAACACTGCAGTTTCTGTGGGAGATGTTTGAAAAAGTTTTTCTGAAGTCTTGGTTTATCATGCCTCATTGTCTACATGCAATCTGTGTCATTAGGGAAATGTGACTATGACATGAGAATAAAATTACTGCCTCTGGCTACAACAAACTCAGCATTCTATGTCAGAGAAGCTCAAACAGTAGTTTGAATTGCTAGAGTCAACCTGCATACATGCAAGCACATCTGCTTTCAGTGAAGGTACAGTGTTGTGTCCCTTGCTTTTCTCTACTAGTACAGTATTTAATTCCTAATTGCGGCTTTGGGTAACCACACTGATTAAACACAGCAGTCACAAAGAACTATCCAGGAACATTGATTCTAGCAGAGCTACAGGTCAAAAAGTCTCTGGAATTTGCCGGAAGTATCAGGATCAAATTTCAGGTTTACCACCTTTACACATTCATAGTGCAGGGAGTATTCTTCTTTCTGCAGCATTAAAATAGGCTACTGACCCAAACTAAAAAGACCATCTCTTTATGCTTCTGGTGTCCTGTAGTTTGTTCTTCTGTTCTCCCCCATGAAAAATCATTAATGAACACTAGTCAGGAAATGAGAAGATGTAAAATATTTTTATATTCCTTTTTCAAATGCTTTATGATATTTCCATAACAAACTATTTATTCCAATGGTTAGTGCACTTTAAATACGATTTTTGCATTCCTAGATGAATCCTTGGAATTTATGTGAATAAGGATGGTGACATAGGTAGGCAAATGAAATATAATCTAAGACACATGAATAAAGACATTGATACACCAAACTGTCAGATATGTGAACAGCAGACTCTTGAATGGGTCTAAATTTGGAGGAAAAGAACAGCAGTATAAATAAAGTATCAGCCAAAATCTTATTTAAACCCAGGCAAATAGTTTTTACCACTAGAATACACTGTTAGTATTATCAAGCTCACAGCAGTTTGCATGACACAGTCAAAAACCTAAACCGCTCTGTTTTTTACTTAGAATCATTGTTATAGCTAGGTAATGTGATGGATTGGCTCTCGCAAATAAAGGATGAAAATTGTATATATGTTAAAAGAAGTTTTATTGATATGTAGATATGTTATCATAGTCTTGTTGTTTAGACATCCTCTGTTCTCCCCATAGTCCCCTTTCCCCCTCGCTATCATTGCCACCAGACAGCCTTGGTTGTGAAAGACTTGTGAAGGGAGGGTGTGTACATGTGCCTCTTGCATGAGATGGTGTCCTGGTTTAGAGCAAATTTGGGAGAGAATCCCCAAAGGGGGTCTGGTAGGAAAGCAAATTCAATCAGCCTCTCCCCCTAATCAGTCTGGAAGAAAATGCATCCTTGGAGAAAAGTGGAAAAAACCTGTTTATTAAACAATATTAAACAATAAAACCCCTTGCCGCTCCAAAAGACATGACAAACTGAGAAAACCCCGTCCCCGGGTTGCGGCTCAGCTCACTCAGCCTCTGGTCAGTCTTTCCGGTGCTAGAAATGTTGCAGGCCAGGCCCAGCCCGGTGGGCCACAGGTGCAGCTGCCGGTGCTCCCCTGGGTGTTTTGTCCAGAGCAGGTTTCAAGAGGTCCAAAGAAAAAGGAAAAAACCACAGTCCAGGGAACTTCTCTGCCTCAGCTAGCTAAACTAACTAAAACCAAAAAAGAGCTCTGTCCCGCTGTCTGTCCATCCACAGACAACACAGTCCAGGAGCAGGAAAGTGTAGGAGTGAGAGCAGTGTCTGAAAAAAAGCTGTGTGCTTCTTCTCTCCCCCCTGCACTCTCTGCAACAAGACTTAAAGGTACAAAACTTATTATTCAGCATAGACAAAACGAGATGATCGGGATAACAGCATCATA